AAAAAATAAACAAAAAAAAAAAGACAAGAAAAGAAAACCAATTCAAATATGACTTAAGTAAAAGAAAGACTTTATTTGGTTTACATAACTGTATGGGCTTCAGATACAGTTGGATTCAGAGACTCCCAATGTTGATACAGAATTGTGTCTCTCGGTCAGGCGCAGTGGCTCACGCCTGTAATCTCAGCACTTTGGGAGGCTGAGGCAGGCGGATCACTTGAGCTCAGGAGTTGGAGACCAGCCTGACCACCTCTCTACTAAAAAAAAAAAAAAAATACTAGCCAGACGTGGTGGCCCATACCTGTAGTCCCAGCTACTCAGGAGGCTGAAGCACGGGAATTGCTTAAACCTGGGAGGTGGAGGTTGCAGTGAGCCGAGATCGCGCCACTGCATTCCAGCCTGAGACCCTATCTCTGGAAGAAAAAAAAAAAAAAAAAAGAATTGTGTCTCAGCTGTCCCTCAATTCTGTTTTCCTTTGAAACAGTTTGATTTTCAGGCAGCTGGACCCATGTGGTGGTAAGACAGCCCACAGCAGTTCTGTGCTTACATTCTAGCAGCTTAACAACCCCTGCATCCCGAAAGCTCCACCAAAAGTCCTAAGACTGACTCTCATTTGTTTGTCCCAAACCAATTACTTTAGCCGGTGAGATGTGGCGCACTGGCCAGGCCTGGGTCAGCTGTTGAACTCTTGAGGTAGTGAGAGGAAGGAGTCAGCCCCTCTAAGTCACGTAGACTGAAAGCGGGGCAGGGGTGGGTGTTCAAAGGAAAAGGGAAGGTCTGGTCTCTAAAAAAACAACCTGGGCCAGGCGCGGTGGCTCATGCCTGCAATCCCAGCACTTTGGGAGGTCGAGGCAGGTGGATCACCTGAGGTCAGGAGTTTGAGACCAGTCTGGGCAACACGGTAAAACCCCATCTCTACTAAAAATACAAAAATTAGCCAGGCATGGTGACACATGCCCGTAATCCTCGCTACTCGGGAGGCCGAGGCAGGAGAATAGCTTGAACCCAGGAAGCAGAGGTTGCGGTGAACCAGTATCACGCCACTGCACTCCAGCCTGGGCAATAAGAGCGAAACTCCGTCTCCAAAAAAATGGTATCTGTACTCAACCTCCCATTCTTAGGATGAGACTAGAACCTGAGTTGTCCGCAGTTGGAGACATTCATCTGCAGGCTCATTGGCTTGTCCACAGGATACCATGCATAAATTATGGTTGTGTGCACTGACCTTGAACTCTTGGGCAAGTTTCCCAAACCTGTTGCCCAACCCAAGGGCATTCTTGAGGCCAGTCCTTCCCTTCGGGGGTCAGTGGGGTGGTGGATCTTAGGAATTAGAGGAGGGAAGGAAGTGGCTGGCCTTCTGCCAGAGGGAGCGCTGGGGCATGCAGGAGCCAGGGGCAGGGATCCTGTCCCTGTTATGCGGCTGGGTAGTCCCAGAGTCTCTGAGGGCCAGCCTTCCAAAAGGAAATGAAAACACAAATGTCTTTGGCTAGAAGTGCACAACCAATTTTTTAATAAAGTCATTACAAATATGTACAAAGCGTCTCCAAGGTATGAAATTCCTCTTACAAAAGAGCACAACGACGTCAGAACCAACAACGTCAGGACCCAGAACGGAACATCCCCAAGCTGATTGCCGCTCTGGCCAGGCCAGAGGCCTCACTACGGTTCTCCAGATACCCTCCCAGCCGTCCCTGCCACGCGCACAGCTTCCTTGGCGCTTATAGTGCAAAAGATCTTCGGGAGAAGGAACTTGGGAGTTCAGGTTGGAGAAGAGGGTAGGAAGGAGGTAAGAAAAGCTTCCTGTGTCCTAGGAAATAAGTCATACAGGCCCTATTTGCAAATTCCATGCACCTTCCCTGGGACCTTATAGAAACCAGGAACACAGGAGGAGGGCATGAGTATATAAAATCCACAACGAATCCAACCAGCCTGTCCTTGAGTGTCCCCAAAGGTGACACTTTTTCCAGTGGACCTAAGTCAGGCCCCCGGCTCCCAGCGGGGCCATGTGCTGGCACTCGCCCTGGAACTAGCAGTGCTGTGGGTGACCTCATGCCGGGAACCAGTGGAGCAGAGCAGTCAGCTCGTGAGCGTGGGGGTCCCATGGACTCGAGTCCAAATCTTGGCTCAGGCACTTCGCTGGTGGTGTGGCCTTCAGCTAAGTTGCTCAACCTCTCTGAGCCTCAGCTTCCTCCACTGTAAAATGGGAATGATAACAGTACTATCTGCTAAAGTGGGCATGAGGCATCGCAGAGGGGAAGATGGTAAAGCACTTCGCCCAGGGCTTGGGAGTGGCGAGCACGCCATCAAAGGTAGCTTTGACTATTGTGTAAAGCAGCAAGGACCAGTCTGTTCATGCTGGAAATGAGTCGAGATTGCAGGCTTTTTAACTGCCTTTACCAGAGGGCGGGGCTCTCAGTCAATACTATATAACAATCTGCCAGCAAGGCTTGGGGTCACAGTGGTGACCTGAAAAATCTGTTAAATGTCGTGAACCAGACTGGAAAGGGACATTTCACATCATCTGCTTCCGAGCAGGACTGTCCCCTCCATCATCCATAAGTCAAGTCTCTTCTGAGATGGAATTCTACAACCTGGCACATTGTAGATGCTCAATAAATATATGCTAAATGAATGAATGAAAATTTTAAAAATAAACTTTCAGCTTAAGCTTTAAAATGACACTTTGACATCAATTTCCTCCCCTCATGGAACTTCCAGTCAGCTCCATGGGATGAGAAGAGTGTCTAGCCGGTCCCCCAAACCCTTAACCAACTTCTGACCTTCAGAAAAGAAACGGATATTGACACAGAAGAACGAAATCTGTGTTCTGGTCAATGCAACTCGTAGTATCAGGTGGACACTCATAAAGTCCACAGTGGTGAGCCGGTGTCCCTAAAAGAGACTTGCGTAGGAGGTGGGTGGGTGAGGACTCCCCTGATTCCCCGGGGAGGGAGAGTGATATTTTATCACTGTCAGAAACATCATAATAGGAGAGCATGAGATCAGCTACATACATTGTGAAAACCAGTCACAGTTTCATTTTTCTGTGACGATATTGTTTAAATCACCCTTTCCTCTCATCATCAAAACAGAAAAGAATCAAAATAAGAAGTGGAGGCTGAGCACGGTGCCTCACACCTGTAATCCCAGCACTTTGGGAGGCCAAGGCAGGTGGATCACTTAAGGCCAGGAGTTCAAAACCAGTCTGGCCAACATGGTAAAACCCCGTCTCTATTAAAAATAGAAAAATTAGCTGAACATAGTGGCATGTGCCTGTAATCCCAGCTACTCGGGAGGCTGAAGCAGGAGAATCGCTTGAACCTGGGAGGTGGAGGTTACAGTGAGCCAAGCTTGCACCACTGCACTCCAGCCTGGGCGACAGAGCGAGACTCTGTCTCAAAATAAAGAAGAAGTGGAAAAGAAGTCCCCAGTATCCAAATGAAGGTGGCTAAAAATATAAAAACAAACAAACAAAAAACAGGAACTAGGCTCTAAGAGATGTGCCCGGCCAAAATAAAACCGCAAACAAAACAAAACAAACAAAAAACAGGAACTGGGCTCTAGGAGATGCGCACGGCCTAGGACCATGGACAGCAGCCAGTGGGGCTAATGGGCTCCCCAGAGAAACTTCCTACTCAAGCTACACCAATAACAAAGAGAACAGGAAACAGACCCCCAAATTTGAAGAGATTGTATTTGTTTGTGGGGTATCAGGTAGGGGTGAGAAGCTTCCAGAAAGGACTGGATCTCATTCAGAGTGTTGAAGTCCCGGGGGCTCCAGTCCCTGAGGTTCCTGGCTCCCCACTCTCTGAGAGCAAGCAGCACCATCAGAAATGAAGAGGCAAAAGTCTCGTCATCTCATTATGCAGCAAGTTACCTAAACGATGATCTCAGAGGCCTCCCTCTGCTTGTACAGTCTCTCTCTCTCTCTCTCTCTCACACACACACACACACACACACACACTGCTGTCTGCTGAAACCCGATATGAGGTCTTTTTTAAAATTCATTTCAAAGCCTCCCTCCCTTTCTCTCTCTCTCTCTCTCTCTTCACAGACGCTCTGCAGTGAAGCTAATCAAAATCAATGACTCCTTGGCAGCCAGAGAAAAGCGGGGGGGTGGAGGAGAGGGAGGGATGTCGCCAGCACTTTGCACGCTGTGGAAATATTTTTTAAAAAACAAGAACCACCCCACTATCTCATGCAATCCAAGCAATACAACAGGAGAGATGGTGGAGACAATATATACATATATATCATGCTTCAATTTCCTAATACAAATGTCCATCAAGAAGTCAAATCTCATATAAAAACAAGCATTAAAAACAACCCCTTGTCAAAAATCGGGGCAGTCGAGAAGTGCACTCCAATGAATGATGTGCAAGAAAAGGCCAGGATTTGATAAATACATGGTCTCTAATAAAACAGGAGAATATCTACAAGGGACTTGGCTGGGAAGCTCTACCAGGAGGTCATGGGTGCCCCAGTTCTCTCAGCAAAGTGGCTTCATTGAAATCAAAATCACCCAAGATGCCAACCCCAGCGTTTGGAGTTTGGATCCTCCAGGGGAAACATCAAAAGCCAGCAGGCAAGTCGGGGTTGAAAAAGGGATCCTCTCACCTTTCATCTTCTCCTGTGTCTACGTGGTCAGCATGCCCCCACTACGACCTTGAAGATACAGCCTTAAAGAAGCAGAGAACTGTGATTGGGTACAACTGTGTAGTAATGGAAGCCTCTCCCCAGAAAACGGGGTGAGCTGGAAAGACCCTAGTCTGTGGCTAAGAAAGTGATTAAATAGAAGCAGAGACTGTATTTCATATTATTCTGATGAATTTGCCTTCTCCAAGTTCGTGGCTTGGTGGGAATATCGCCTGCTGCTCTCTGCAACCCCCAGCTAAGCGAGGGTCCCCTGCAAACATCAACTAGGGGGAGGGCATGAGTAATGAGGAGAAGCAGGCTCCCCCAAAATAAGCGTTATTATTATTATTATTATTATTTTTGCCTTGCTGAGTTCAAAGCTGCGGGGTGGGGGAGCCTTCCCTCACATTCAGCAGCCCTGGGGTTACATTTGTCTTTAAAGGGCTATTTAGGAAAACACAAGGAATGGATTTTAAAAAGAAGACAGAAAGAAATCCAGCTCCCAGCTTGCAGCAGCACTGAGAGGTTGTACATTCTAAAGGACCTGGTCATTTACAGCAAAGCCTATGGGGGGATAATTCCCATTTCAGCCGCATCCACCTTAACAAACGTGGATCCCACTGCTGGCTTCTTAGAACTGGAGCGGTGTCTGCTAACCAGCCTGCTGGACCCTCTGTCTATAGGTACCAGGTGGTGACTTGCAAATCGAGCCTTGGAGAATGACTGTCCGAATCTGCAGGCTGACACCTCGCCACCTCGGCTTTGAAAATGGCAGTGTGTGGTATCCTGCACAGAGGAAGAATACGTGCTTATGTTGGATTTTTCGAAAATGAAAGCAAAAAATAATCACTGCTCCCTGAAGAGTCTTTGCAGCCAAGTCTCCGTCCAGCACACATCTTTTTTTTAGCCCTTCTAGAAACTTCTGAAAATAGTAGCTTATCCTTGGGGGGAAAAAAATCAGACCTCTGTCAATCAGTGAGATGCTGGTGCATTTCATTTAAATGGCCCACTCCCTCCCCCAGCGTCCCCTGGTTATAAATCATCTTTGACCAGAATGTAGCCATTTCTTGGCTCTTTAATCCATAAAACCTAAACCCTGAAATCCCCTTGGGGAGTGGAGGAGGCTGTGGGCTGAACTCCGAGGACACTTTTGTGGGGGTGGAGGAGATAGCAACCAAGTCATGCATGAGGTCAGCTTTCTGCCTCATAACCAGCAAGCCTCTCAATGCCATCCTCCATCCTAGACCCCAAGGTTTGCTCCAAACCACCTCTGGATATTTGTCCCCACGTAGAGAAAGGGAAGAGACTCTCAAGTGGCACTTTTGCAACTTGTCCCTTAAAAAAAAAAAAAAAAGAATCTGAAACAGCAAAATAGAAATCTCTCTTGTCCCCTGGCCTTCCAACAAGTCTGTCGAAAGAATACCACAGCAGCACCAGCAGGAACGCACTTAGCACCAGCAAAATTTTAAGTGAAGCACCAGAGACACAAAAATCCCGTTTCTCTCGACGTGACAGTGGGATCTAGCGATCGACCTAGGTAAATACAGAGGGAGAGGCTAGGACAAGTCAAGAAATGGAGGCACCCCAGACTGCCCCTACACAATTGGCCCCAAGTCCTCACCTTTTTTTTTTTTTTTTTTTTTTCCTATCATGCCTTTTGCACTGTTACCTCTTATTCCACCAGCATCTATCCCCAGGCAGTTGGCCGATGCTAGGGCTAATTCCCACCAGTCTTTGCAAACAGTTTCTAAGTACACAGCAGGCATCTCTCTTCTGGCGCCCCAGACATTACAGAATATCAAAGTTCACATCGCAAGGTGCAGAAAAGGAAGGCAACCACGTCCTCGACAAGGCATGCACTGATACGTAATATTCATATTTTTGTTATATATAGAGAGCTGTATGTAAATAGCATTGGGGTGTCTGTTTCTGCAGCTGGATTTCCAAAGGGCTTCCCCAGTCCCATTCTGTGTTTCTACGATCGCTCCAGGCGCTGTCTTTACTCTCCACTTCCTTCTCGAAGTGCCAACCGCGGCCTTTCAAGCTCTGGGCTCCCCCTCTGGAAAACGGGAACCAGCTTTCTCCAAGGACACAGGGTTTTCACCAACCTGCAGAAATAAAGATTGGTATTTTGATCAGTGCAGCTGCTGGGGGTGACGTCAGTGCAGTGGGCCTCTGCACACTCAGCCCCGGATGTCGGGAGGGGGTGGGGAAGGGGAGAGCTACTGGATGCAAAGCTCTGGTTTTGGAGGAAGGATGCCTCAAAAGCTAGTCTTGGCACTCTTCCCCTTACCAGAGTCTCTGTCTATGTGGCAGCCATCCCCAAATAGACATTTGTGAGCGCACACACACTCCCCTCTCTGCTTTTAGACCTAGATATTTACATAGTCATCTTCAGAGATTTTTAAAAAAAGAAGAATCTAGAGACACACGAACTTTTTGTTTCTCCAAATTCAGAACAGGACCTTCCTCGATTCATTTCATAGATCCAGATTCAGGAGAGAGTTGTGGGATAGTCTCTGTTCTCTTCTGTTTGTTTGTCCATTCATTCATCCATTCATTTCTTCCCAAATATGCCAAGTGCCATACTCGGGGCTACAGATTCAATGACATAATTCTTGCCCTTGAGGGGCTCAGAGCCAACAGGGAGATGGGAAGAAATGGATAATGAAAGTCACATGTAAAGAGCATATGCAATCTGGGGAAACGTGGTCTATGGGAGCCCAGGGGAGGCAGCTCATAAGGGAGACAAAGGAGACTCCTCAGAGAGAGTGGCAGGCCCCTGTTGACTATTGAAGAGTGCCAGGAAATGAACCAGGATAAGAAAATGAGGCATCCTAGGCAGGGCAGAAAAAAACAGCCCATACCCAAGAGTATCCACAACAGAACGCACAAAATGTGTGCACAAATGCTCACGGCAGAATTATCCATAATAGCACAGTGTGGAAACAACCCAAATGTCCATCAACTGATGAATAAACAAAATGTGGTCTCCTCATACAATGGACTATTAGTCAGCCATCAAAAAGGAATGAAGTGTTGATACTTGAAGATGGATGAACCTTGAAGACATCATGCTAAGTCAAAGAAGCCAGACACAAAGGGACACATATTGTGTGATTCTATTTATATGAAATGTCCACAACAGGCAGATCTTCTGTGACAGAAAGGAGAACGGTGGTTGCCTAGGGCCAGGGCGGGTGGGAGGAATTGGGGAGTGGTGCTCATGAGCACAGGGTTTCTTTCAGGGAAACGAAAATATTCCAAAGTTGACTGTGAAGATGGCTGCAAAATTCTATATATACTCCTCATCATTGACTTGTACACCTTAAACAGGTAGGGTTGTTTATTTGTTTGTTTGTTTTTGAGACAAGGTCTCGCTCTGTTGCCCAGGCTGGAGTGCAGTGGTGCGATCTCAGCTCACTGCAACCTCTGCCTCCTGGGTTCAAGTGACTCTCCTGCTTCAGCCTCCGAAATGGCTGGGATTATAGGTGCACGCCACCACGCCCATCTAATTTTTGTATTTTCAGTAGAGACTGAGTTTTGCCATGTTGGCCAGACTGGTCTTGAACTCCTGACTTCAAGTGAGCCACCCACCTTGGCCTCCCAAAGTGCTGTGATTACAGGCATGAGCCACTGTGCCCCGACTTAAAAGGATAGATTTGATGGCTATAAGTTAGCAGGGGAGATAAGAACGTATCACATGTTACTCTGAAGCAGGTGGCATAAGAACGAGCATGTGGGTAATACACACCAAGTGGTATAGGAGGAGGGAGATCACTTTATGACTTCTGGGTTTGAAAAAGTCTGAGATGTTGACTTGTATGTACCAGCTGGTGCCCTTGACTTCTGGCTTTCTTCTGGGTTTGACCAACAGGAAAGGAAGCACTCATGGGAAAGTAAAATCAGATGTTTGTTCCCCAGTTCCCCGCCCGCTGGTCAGAGGTTGGTCACAGCCGCTGCCTGGACTCATGGTACAGTGACACCCTCCTGGGGACTCCAGGTCCCATTCCTTTCCCTGGAACCTTCAGGCCAGGGTGGGAACAGCTCCCCTCTATGGCCAAACCTAGGGTACTGCATTCACTCTCGCTGGTTTCCCAAACCCTGCCCACGCCTTTGCCGTTGAACCTTTCCTAAATTCTCCTCTGATGACTGAGTCTGGAGACACTATCTGCTGTTACTTGGGCCCTAGTGGATACATCTGACTGCATGAAAGAGATGAGTCATAAACACATGGACCCCACAGTCTACGTCAGCTGACAGTCACAAGGATCCAAATCAGTGACTTCAAACCTTTTGCTTTTTTTTCTTTTTTAAAGAAACTGGGTCTCGCTCTGCCACCCAGGCATGAGGGCAGTAGCGCCATCATAGCTCACTGCACCCTCGACCTTCTGAGCTCAAGCGATCCTCCCACCTCAACCTCTAGCTGGGACTACAGGCATGCAACACCACATCTGGCTAATTTATTATTTGTATTTTTTCTTTTAGAGACAGGGTCTTGCTATGTTGCCCAGGCTGGCCTCAAGTAATCCTCCCACCTTGGCCTCCCAAAGTGCTAGGATTACAGGTGTGAGCCACCACGCCAGGCCAATTCCCCTTCTATCTCATGAGGGCACACACACAGTAGGAGCTCTGCGTTGTTATGCAGCCACCATATATTTTCTTAGAATATGGAATTAGAGTCGTCAATCAACTCAATTGATAAATACACTCAATTTAATGAAACCAGCTTTTGTAACCCCTAAACATCTCCGTTGGTGTCTACTCATAAATCTACAGAATGAAAGTCAGTGTAAACCTGCAGCATTAGCCTAAAATAATTATGCTGCTTTAAGCACAGGTGGGACAGAAGGAGAGCTAGGAACACTTAGTAAGTACCTACTATGCTACTGAGTGTGTGGACTTCGTGCTAAGCTTGGTTATCTGCACCAGATAAGGCCAGGTGCCTGCTTGAAATTTGCCTCTAGGCTTACAGGAAAAATATGCCATGCCAGAGGACAGTACTGTAAATGACCAATATCCGGAGGTGAACCGACAGCCTAGAAGTCAGGATGGGGTTACAATCACTAGGGAAGCTTCAGAGTGGACCCGGGATTTGATTCATGAAATACCTTTGAAGAAATGTCCCTGTTTCCATTTTTCATCCACCACATGGAGGGGGGAGGCAGGCAGAGAGGGAGAATTTGAACCCATAAGGTTCTGCCTCCCTGGGCTGCGGTGATGTTGTGCCGCTTTGGGCACGGAAGGTGAAAGCTGAGAACAGTGAACCCCACTGCAGCATTAGATGGGGTAAGAGGCTCATTCCCTTTTTCTGATGTCAGCAAAGAATTAGGACTCTTGGATTCCCTCCTAAGAGGCCCCCTCATTAAAAAAAAAATACCTTGGCCAGGCATGGTGGCTCTTGCCTATAATTCCAGCACTTTGGGAAGCCAAGGAGGCCAGAAGTTTGAGACTAGCCTGGGCAACATGGCAAAAGCTCATCTCTACTAAACATACAAAAAATAGCCAGGTGTGGTGGTGCACACCTGTAATCCCAGCTACTCAGGAGGCTGAGGCATGAGAATCTCTTGAACCCAGGAAGTGGCGATTGCAGTGAGCTAAGATCATGCTACTGCACTCCATCCTGAGCAACAGAGCCAGACCCTGTCTCAATAAGTAAATAAATAAATAAAATTTTAAAAATACCTTTTTTGCCCTTGCTAGTTGCACAAATGATAAGTTACAAATTCAAACAGTGGAGAAGAATATAAAAATAAAAGGAAAGCCCCTTCAACCCAACCCTTAAGCCCCACTCCCTTTCCCAGAGGCAGCCGGTATCACCGGCCGGTTGTGCAGCCTCCCAGAGTATTTTCTGTGCATTTGTAGATGCCATGTCTCTTTTTTATTCTTTTCCTACCATTATGTTCCCAGAGCCCAGCACAATGCCCAGCATATAGTAGGTGTCCAATTCATTATCTATTGAGGAGGGTAAATAAGTGACAAACAAATAAAGATGACAGGCTGGGTGTGGTGGCTCACGACTGTAATCCCAGCACTTTGGGTGGCCGAGACAGGTGGATCACTTGAGGTCAGGAGTTTGAGACCAGCCTGGTCAACACGATGAAACCCCGTCTCTACTAAAAATACAAAAATCGGCCGGGTGCAGTGGCGCACACCTGTAATCCCAGCTAGTCAGGAGGCTGAGACAGGAGAATCACTTAAACCTGGGAGGCAGAGGATGCAGTGAACTGAGGTGGCACCACTGCACTCCAGCCTTGGAGACAGAGCAAGACTCCATCTCAAAAAAAAAAAAAAAAAAGGCAGTTTCTCGGATCCTCCATCTTTGGTTTCAGCAGGTTGATTCTGACGAAGGAGTTTCAATGGTACCAATAGTCCTAGTCCCTAAGACTTGAAGGAAGGGCTGGGCATGGTGGCATGTGCCGCTAATCTCTGCTACTCAAGTGGCTGAGGCAGGAGGATTGCTTGAGCCCAGGAGTTCGAGACCAACCTGGGCAATATAGCAAGACCCTGTCTCAAAAAAAAAAAAAAAAAAACTTGGAGGAGAAGCTCTCCATGCAGAATCCTCTTGCAAAGAAGATTGCTCCGGTCCACATTATACCCTAAATCTCCATCTGTAGAGTTCATGTCGGCCAGGTAGGAAGCTGCGCGCACAGGAGGCTGTGGAAAGGAAGCTGAAAAGATGGCTAGGTTGTGATGTGTGAGGAAGGAAGAGGTCACTTGGCAGCCTCTGGAAGAAATATTTGCTGTCCCTGGCCCAGCCTTCTTCTATCAGTGAACAGTTATCAATGCCATCAGCTACTAGATACTGATTATCTAAAGTCTATGAAGAGAGACCTGAGCTCCTACCCACTAGGAAGTTATGGCAGGTGGGCCTTGGAAGCCCAGTTCGCTTGACTTTCAGAAGGGTAAGCAGTGAGAGTTGGGAAGTAGTTCAGCTCAACACAGAATCAACACCAAAACAAACAAACAAACAAACAAAAATACAGATTCTTCTCAAAGCAAACTGGGGCCTACCAGACAGCGTTGCCCATGGCCCATGGCCCCCATGTTATACTGTGCACATTCTTTGACCTAACAATTTCACCTTCAGGAACTTCACTTTTTCTTT